AGGGAGAGAGAGAATTTTAAGCAGGCTCCACGCCCAGCGAGGAGCCCAACATGGGGCTTGATCTCACGACCCTCAGATCATGACCTGAGCCAAAATCAAGAGTCAGATGCTCAACCGACTGAGCCACCCAGGTGCCCCTATTTCTTTCTAATTAGAACAAAACAGGTTCAGAGGCTGTGCTGCTTTTTTCTGTTTGTGTGGTCTTGGGAGGCTAATCATCATCATCATCATCATCATCATCATCATCATCATCATTTCTATCATTATTACTTAGTCCTACTTATAAGACTTGTCTATGGTAGTCCAATTCTCAAAGCGAAGATTCCCTTCTGTACATAACTCCTGAAATTGTCTTTCTTAAATAAAATAATTGTCATTCATTACTAGGTTAAAATTTTAACCTGTTTCTCTTGGAATAAAATGTAAAGTATAATCTAAACCAGTAACTGAAATCTTGTTTCAGTTTTCTATAGCTGTGTTTTATATATTATGTATTACTTTATTTTATTTATATATAAATCATTTTATGTGGCTCATACCCTCCTTCTCCCCTCATAGTATATCATAAATTCCTTGAAATAAATTTTAGATCCTAAATGCTTAAGAAGAAAGTTGTCTGTGTAGATCTGTCTCAGTCTCTGACAACTAACTCTCCAACGTGCTCAGTTGAGTGGTCCTCAATAAATACAGAGGTCTAATTAAGATGCCTTGGATGGCATCTCAGATGGATACTACCCTACAGTGGTAAATGCATTTACTGCAAGAGTATAATCAGGTCAACAGAGATCACCTTTACTGGGAATGTAAAGTCCTTGAAGCCAATAACTCTTTTGTTATTCATTACTTCCCTAGCACCTAACATAATGCCTGGCACATGTGAAGTATTCGGTAGAAACTTGTTGATAGACAACAGTACTGTACTGTAATCAGCAAACTTGCCAAGAGTCTAGAACTTAATGATTCTGACCACTGAAAAGAAAGGAGAATTATGTAATGTGATAGGGGTGCTGATTATCACTACAGTGACAATCCTAGCACAGTATATAAATGTATCAAATTAACATGTGTACAACAGTATATGTCAAATATATTTAAAAAAACACTTGTTGAATGAGTGGAAGAATTATCAGAAGAGATTTTTCTTGGCGAGGCCAAACCAAGATATGCAGGCATTCCAGGCAGGCTAATTTATTTAGTGAAGGACAAGGAAAATAATTTCCTCATTAATAAAAAAAAAAAGTACGCAGAAATGATTTTAACTTACTCCACTTTCATTGGCTCAGGCAGTCAGTGTAAAGAAGGAAAATTCAGAGGAAAAGCCTTTTGTACTTTTCTGAACTCTCGTTCTCTCTTATGTGATTTTCCAAACCAGGCAAAATTTGGGGAAGCTGCGTTGATTAGTTTCAGAATTTGGTGGCATAAATTGCACTGTGCTGTGCATTATTCATTGTCAGAATTTTGACTCTAACCAAGTGGGCTTGTTGTAAAAATGACAGTGGTCAGTGCTATGCAGGACCTTTTTTTAAAAGATTTTTATTTATTTATTTGGGAGAGCACGAGTGAGGGAGAGAGAGAGAGAGAGAGAGAGAGAGAGAGAGCGCACGTGCGCCTGAGTAGAGGGAGGGGCAGAGGGAGAGGGAGAAGCAGGCTCCCTGCAGGGCTCCATCCTGGACCCTGGGGGATCATGACCTGAGCCAAATGCAGACGCTTAACCGACTGAGCCACCCAGGCGCCCTTAGGGCTGTTTTCTCCATGAAAGTGCTGTCAGATTTCATGAAAGCAGGATGAATTCCCTATTTTCCAGCTTGGTTAAGAAGTTGTATCTTGAAACCTGAGCTTCCCTGACACCATGAATCTGACTTTTTTTCCAAAGTTGTTTTAGCTTCTCCTAGAGCTTCCCACACAAATGCTTATCAGAATGCCCATATTTCAGTTCTGAGCCTTGAACTCTTTTCACCTAGACCCAGTGCTAGTGCTCTGGGAAAAACAGGAGTCCCTGTGACTGGCATCTGTCGTGTCCCTACATGGGGGGCTATGACCCCTGTGTGAGCCTGACTACTGTTGACTAGGTTGAGGTGTTGAGCTCTTGGGCCTTGCTCATGCCAACCTAAAAGGTCCACGTTTTCCTACACTGTGGAGGGGGAGAGCCCTGGTATTCTCAGAGGGTGGGAAAGCCTTCCCTGCTCTCTTTGGGAAGAAGGAGGACCCAGGGTGGATGGCAGTCAGGTCCCTAAGTAGGGTGGGGCCAAGAGTCTTAAGGAGAGTGAGATCCAAGGGTTTACCTTTCTCTTGGTCCCATAGCAGTTACGGTGCACATAAAGGTTACAGGCATGAGACAAGCTGAGCTTCCTTCGGCCTTGGGAAGCTATAAGGGGACCCGGCAGGAGCTTCCCAGTTCCTAATTCACCTCTCTTACTCAGAAAGGCTGTACGTAATAGGCAGGTTGAGAAATCTCACCTAGTGTTTGTTTTATTTCATCATAAATAACTTTGCAATTCCTTAGTGTTGTTATAATAAAGAAAGTAGGTGATTCCCACCTTTCTGAAACCCTCCCAATTTCCTTTTTAAAACTGTTATTTTAGGAAAATGTTGTAAGCCTGGTGCAATGACTACATGCCTCTTGAACCTCAGACAAGCAGATGTGGTCTGTGTTGTAATGTTCTAGCTGGCTGACCGAAGAGAGGTTCGGGCACCAGATTTGCATGGGCAAGAAGATGTAGTGTCTTGTGGTAGTCATTCTGGTCAAAGCTCTTGGGGTCCAACTAGGTTGGGCCATCTGTTCTCGGTACAAGATTTTCCTCCAGAGTATCGGTGTTCCTGGAATGGGATTTCCACTAGAGTGTCAGTGCCAGAGACTGGAAATCTTTGAAGTCTGCTAATCTTCCCTAAAATGTCTTTGGCTCATTGCTGAAATTACACGTTGAGCCTGACAACATCACTTTTGTGGCCCTTTTATCTCCTGCTTGATGTTGTTCACCAGTCTGGTAACCAAGACAACCGATGGAGGCGCGGGGGGCGGGGGGAGGGCCGGCATCCTCACAGGACAATTGTCATGAGCTGTGGTGCAGAGGCTGGGCTCTTACTTGGGGTGGGTTTTCATTCCTTCCAGTTCTATCTTTCCAGAGGGGTAGGTGAGAGCAGGGTTGAACAGAGTTCGTGCGGCTGACAGATTTCCCTGTTGCTACTCCTCCTGGAGGACTCCTCTTGAAATGGCCAGGAAGATGCTTGACTTCTGGGAAAGAAACGGCTCTTTGGCAAAACCCAGGAATTGCTATCTGAGCAATCTTCACATTGCAAAGAGATTGATGGGCTGATGTCAAAATGAAATACATGCTGAGCAACAAGTTGGTGATTACCATTGCCACCCCTCACATTTCTGTCAGACCCAGTGGTTTATAAAGTGCTTTGTCATGGGTGTTATCTGATTTGACCCTTCTGTCAACCCCGTGGGATATTATTTCTGTGTTTTATCAGTTTTAGAGGTCAGCGTAGTTTGACTCTCTGAAGGTCATGAAGTTGGCAAATCAGAGCCACGTTCTAAACTGATTCCTTACTAAATCACAAGATCATTCCAAGGCTCTAGAGTTTCCACTGTGGGAATCACCACTAGCAATGCACAGAAAGAGTAAAATCATTTCTTACCATTGGTGAAATCACACAGAAGAAACAAAAATAAAGCTGTTATGTTGTGTGGTACCAAGTCAGATCTAGAAACTTGTCTGAGCTGGAAGCCCAGGGAGGAAGCTTTTTGAAGGAGGCGGAGTTGGGTTGTCCCCTGAAGAATGGAGGAGACTTGAGAGATTTGGGAAGATGGAGGGGGAGAAGTATCCAGCGAGGGCATGGGCTTTGTCATGGGCACACTGCTGGTGCTTGCCACCCACTGGTGGGCTATCTTTCACTCAAAACAGGCGGCTCAATTTTTTCAGCTACCAGGATGTCGAACTATAATCTCTCCCTTTCTGATGAAAGAAATGCTCACCTGTCACTGTCTTGCCCCTCGAAGTGCCCTCAGAAGGGACAGTGCACCAGGACAGACTGCTAAAGAGTGTTTGCTTCCCTTTGCTCTGATGTCATGGAATCAACAGCTCTTCATTTCTTTGAAATGGCTGTTGCTTTCTTCAAAATAGCCTCCTCCGTAACTTGGTTAAGAAAACTTAAGCAGCAATGTCCACAATAGCCAAACTGTGGAAAGAGCCGAGATGCCCTTCAACAGACGAACGGATAAAGAAGATGTGGTCCATATATACAATGGAATATTACTCAGCCTTCAGAAAGGATAAATACCCAACTTTTGCATCAACATGGATGGAACTGGAGGAGCTTATGCTAAGTGAAATAAGTCAACCAGAGAAAGTCAATTATCATGTGGTTTCACTTATTTGTGGAACATAAGGAATAGCATGGAAGACATTAGGAGAAGGAAGGGAAAAATGAAGGGGGGAAATCAGAGGGGGCGACGAACCATGAGAGACTATGGACTCCGAGAAACAAACTGAGGGTTTCAGAGGAGTGGGGGGTGGGTGGATGGGTTAGCCCGGTGATGGGCATGGAGCACTGGGTGTTATATGCAAACAATGAATCATGGAACACTACATCAAAAACTAATGGTGTACTGTATGGTGACTAACATAACATAATAAAAAAAAATTGTAAAGAAAAAAAAGAAAAATGGGGGTGCCTGGGTGGCTCAGTTGGTTGAGTGTCTGCCTTCGGCTTGGGTCATGATCTCAGGGTCCTGGGATCGAGCCCCACGTCAGGCTCCCTGCTGGGTGGGGAGTCTGCTTCTCCCTCTGCCTCCCCTCCCCCCATGGCTTGTGCGCGCTCTCTCTCTCTCTCGCTCATTCTCTCAAATAAGTAAAAAAAAATCTAAAAAAAAAAACCAAAAAAACAAAAAACTTAAATGTACAACTTATAAGTAAGTCTGGTGAATGGAATATATTGCGGCAGTTCACAAAGCATTACGAGATGGCCTCAAAGTCCCCATGTGTTTCCCGTGACAGGTTTGTGATTCTTACCCTACTGAACTGTATGTTCCCAAATCGGCCACGGCACACATCATTGTGGGGAGTTCCAAATTCCGGAGCAGACGGCGATTTCCTGCCCTTTCTTACTACTATAAAGATAACCACGTAAGTCTCAAGGCATGCTTTTGTTTTATGCTTTGCTTTTCTTGTTTTATCATAAACAGGCATTTTTCTAGCGGCCTTCTGCTCTGTGTGTGTGTGTGTGTGTGTTTGAATTCTTAAAGGTATGTGGGTATTGCTGTGTACTATTACATAACACAACTCTGCTTAAACTCTTACCTCAGGTAGAAGCTGACCTTTCATGTTTATTTGATAATAAAGTAATGGGATACTGTCAGAAAATACCTAAACCTAATCATCCAAATGAATGCCTGTCCTTTTCTAAGTGGTCACTTTGGGAAGCTCTGTGCTCCTTCAAACAGCGCTAGAGATCCTTTGAAATGCCTGCTTTAGTAAAGCTTCCAGAATCCATGGCACCTTCTTTTTTTTAATGGCACACTCTTCTGAGCATCCTCAGTATAAGAAATCTTTGTTTACGGAGAGCAGGTTTTATTTTTTAAATATTACTTATAAGAGGCACCTGGGTGGCACAGTTGGTGAAGCATCTGATTCTTGATCTCAGCTCAGGTCTTGATCTCAGTGTCATGAGTTCAAGCTCCGTGTTGGGTTCCACGCTGGGTGTGGAACCTACTTAAAAAAGAATTATTTATAAAAGCTAGGATTAGATTTGTCTGCAACTAACAGGGCCTCTAAGTAACAGTGCCTTAAACAGGATAGAACTTTATTTTCTCTCACGTAAAACTCCAAAAGTGGGCAGTCCAGGCCCAGAGTCTCGGTTGTCCATTACTCAGCCCTCAGAGACCTGAGCTCCTGCACCTTTCTGCTCTGCCTTCCTTTGTCTTTGATCCTCATTGAGTGGTATAGGAGATGACTTTAGTACCGGCCACTATTTCCACAGAGCAGCAGGGGGTGGGGGGATAACAGGCCCTCACAGCTTTCTGAGGAAACCTAAAACTGCCACGCGACACTTCTGCTCACATCCTGTTGGTCAGAACTGTGCAGGGCAGGTGAGAAAATACACTCTCCTGGGTAATTGTGTAAATAACTAAAAATTGTGGTTCCATTTCTGGGAAGGACAAGAAAACAAATTTGGGGAGCCAAGAATGGTCTTTGCCACACACTTCAGAAGTTATTTGACTTCAGTGGGGTGAAAAGTTGGGTTTTCAAGCTAGATGATATAGTTTTGGATTCAAAGGCAAATTCACAGCCATAAACAATTGCAACAGATGTGTGTGTGACTGCTCACACGTGTACCTATGGGCGAGGGAGGGTCAGGTCTGTGTCCGATTCTAAGAGGAGGTTTCCAGAAATACCTTGAGCAATGCCATCTGCACCCAAGTAAGCTTATAACCTTCTGTGCTGCCTGCTTTGGAGGCAAATATTCATTGAGCAGTGCAAGTTCCATTAATTGAAAGGATATAAACTGTCTTACTTTTAGTTACATTCACTGGGGTCTAAAAAAGGCAAGTATATTATTAATGTTCTGTATTACTTGACTCCAACTATATTTCAGCCTACATAGAACTGGAGAAGTGGTAAAAGAAAGATGTGAATTTCTTTAAAAAAAAAAAAAAAGATGGAGGGAATAGGGAATTTCATGACATTGTATTTGAAATTAGGATGCCGGTAACATTGACACTTTTTGTAACATCCATTGATAAAGAAGTAAGAGAGGGAGGATCCTTTCTTTTATTGTTGTTTAAGAGGTGAAGGTGGGTTAGGTATTTAAAAAGTGAGCGTAGTGTCTACCCTACTTCTTTTCCTTCTGTTTTGATGTTCTTGAGAAAAGAGACTTTTTTCTTGGTCATTTGTAATTATTGCGAAGGGCAAGTGTGCGAAGTCTCAGAACAGGATAGAAGCCTTAACAGTTAGACCCCAGAAGCTCTTCACCTACTGGCCTCAGCTTTTCATAGTTATATTCCTCCTCTTGGAAGATCTTGACTTGATCTCCAGGCTTGAAAATGAGCCATGCAGCCCTCATTTATAGTTGAAAATAACTGATTTCCTGTAGTTAGAACTTTCAGGAAGATAATGCTTCATGTTTTAGCTCTTCTTACAAAGTACAAAATAGAGATGTGCTTCTGAGCATTGCTCGATGAACTGGTTACCCCAGGGAAACAGTTCATGTGCCCGGACATGCATACCCACTCTCCCAACCCCAGGAACTGAATTCCGTCCTGCATGGAGCGGAATGATCCATTTTGTGTTTTATAACAACATTTAGGTTTCAATATCAAGTTTCATGATGTAAATGCTTCTGATGCATCCAGGGATTTTTATAAAGGGAAATACTGTCAAAGGTGGATTTCTGTGGTTAAATGGATGATGTGTGAGATAACAAAGCAGCAGTTCATGCTGTCATTGCTCTGGAAAACGCATACATAAACCAGGCAGTCTTCCATAAAAAATAAACAGGGGAAAAAAAAAAAAAGGAAACAGGTGGATTATGTAAATTTGCTGATCTATCTTTCTTCCCTTTTTGTGATTTTAGACATTTTAGACTTAAGAATATGTATTCCTCAGCCAATAAAACTTACTGCTTGTGAATAAAAATATCATATCTTTTAGTTAAACTATTGTTCCTCCCATATCCTTGTGTTACTTAAGGGCCCCTTTGGCTGGTGAGGTGGCTTGGCTAATGTGTGGTAGTGGGATCGGGAGTTAGATTATGACGGGAAATGCACATCGTTGCATGAGCTAGAAGTCCTGGGGGAGAATCCTTTGATATAAATGTCCCTGCTGAGGGGGCATCATTCCTTTCATATCAGCTTTTGTGATACGTGGTGTTGTAATCACTTCCTAGTCATTTGTTGGTGAGAAGAGGATCCCTGCCCTAGGATTCCAGGGAAGGCTGCCCACATGACACCCGACACTGGGCAGAAGCGGTTCTCAGCGGTTTCTGAGTTGTGTGTACTCACTTCCCAGGGGAGGAGGACACTGCCTGCCATGCAGGGCACCCGGGGGTGGCGCTCAGGAATAGAGTGAACCAGCAGGGACTGTGGGAGGCAGGCTTTGTAGTGAGGGGTACGGTGGCCTCAGGTTCCTACGGGGGCATGTGATTGGCTTGTTGAATTCCATGGGCTGGCAGGGTACTGAAAGCCGCTACTCAGAGATGAGCAGGTGCAGGAGCTGAATCAGGTCTGGAGGGAGGGTTAGCCGGGGGGCTTTATCCATAGGAGCAAGGGGTGAAGGGGCACTTGTTGTTGGTCATTTGAGGTCCTCCCAATTTTACCGATGTCAAGGGAGAGCCCAGAATAAAAAGTTTAGGCCTTGAACTGCCCAGGGGTTATATAGAGCCATCCATACTCCCTTTGGATATCAAACTACTAACAGCTTTGTAGATAACAGTTAGAGATGTATAAATTAGAAATGCCGCTTACATTCGGAAGCCTGTGCATGTTATTTACCAGCCCTTATAATTGCCGTATACTTTGTTCTTTCTTACTAAAGGTTTCAGTTATGTTTTTTTTAATTTTTTTATTGACGTATAATGTATTATTTGTTTCAGGGGTACAGGTCTGTGATTCATCAGCCTTACACAATTCACAGCGCTCACCATAGCACATACCCTCCCCAATGTCCATCACCCAGCCACCCCATTCCCTCCCACCCCCCTCCACTCCTGCAACCCTCAGTTTGTTTCCTGAGATTAAGAGTCTTTTATGGTTTGTCTCCCTCTCTGGTTTCATCTTGTTTCATTTTTAAGAAAGCAGTTTTACTTAAATGGTTAATAGCGTGATCTCCCAAATTCACAGTACAAATCTCTGGGAAACCAAACTCTGTAAGATTTCCAAAGAAGTGATTTCCCTTAAGAAAAATAGACATTTTCTCTTCCTTTTATAACTAATGTTTATTAAATCTCACTATGTGTTAGGTACAGTTCTAGGAAAATTATAAACCTCATCATACTCTGTAGTTTTGATATTATTATCCTCATATTGTAGATGAGAAAACCAAAGTTCAAAGACAATAGGTCAGTTACCCAAGATCATATACCGAGTGAAAGCAAACTGTGGATTGAAAGCCAGACCTTCTTGGATGCCGCATCTTAATTCTCTCATGCCTCCTGACTTATTTCTGTACCTCGGTGCTATATTATTTTGGTTGAGAACTCAGGATCAGAAAATGTTATGCCTGGATGGAATTTCTGGCTTCCCTAATTATTAGCTGTGTAACATTGAGCAAGTTACTTCACCTCTCTGTTGCCTCGGTTGCCTCATTTGTAAAATGAAGCAAATCATAGATGGTAATTGAGAAGATTAAATAAAAATAACACAAAGTTCCAAAAGACAACCAACAAAATGGGAAAAGATATTTGCAAATGACATATCAGATAAAGGGCTAGTATCCAAAATCTATAAAGAACTTATCAAACTCAACACCCAAAGAGCAAAGAATCCAATCAAGAAATGGGCAGAAGACATGAACAGACATTTTTCCAAAGAAGACATCCAAATGGGCAACAGATACATGAAAAAGTGCTCAACATCGCTTGGCATCAGGGAAATCCAAATCAAAACCTCAATGAGATACCACCTCACACCAGTCAGGATGGCTAAAATTAACAAGTCAGGAAACAACAGATGTTGGCGGAGATGTGGAGAAAGGGGAACCCTCCTACACTGTTGCTGGGAATGCAAGCTGGTGCAGCCACTCTGGAAAACAGTATGGAGGTTCCTCAAAAAGTTGAAAATAGAGCTACCCTATGACCCAGCAATTGCACTACTGGGTATTTACCCCAAAGATACAAATGTAGGGATCTCAAGGGGTATGTGCATCCCGATGTTTATAGCAGCAATATCCACAATAGCCAAACTATGGAAAGAGCCAAGATGTCCATCGACAGATGAATGGATAAAGAAGGTGTGGTGTAGATATACACACACACACACACACACACACAGTAGAATATCATGCAGCCATCAAAAAAATGAAATCTTGCCATTTGCAACAACGTGGATGGAACTGGAGGGTATTATGCTGAGCAAAATAAGTCAATCAGAGAAAGACATGTATCATATGACCTCACTGATATGAGGAATTCTTAATCTCAGGAAACAAACTGAGGGTTGCTGGAGTGGTGGGGGGTGGGAGGGGTGGGGTGGCTGGGTGATAGACATTGGGGAGGGTATGTGCTATGGTAAGCGCTGTGAATTGTGTAAGACTGATGAAACACAGAACTGTGTCTCTGAAACAAATAATACATTATATGTTAAAGAAAAAAAAGATAGTAGGAAGGGAAAAATGAAGGGGGATATCAGAGGGGGAGACGAACCATGAGAAACTATGGACTCTGAGAAACAAACTGAGGGTTCTAGAGGGGAGGGGGTGGGGGAATGGGTTAGCCTGGCCATGGGTATTAAGGAGGGCACGTATTGAATGGAGCACTGGGTGTTAAATGCAAACAATGAATCATGGAACATTACATCAAAAAAATAAGGAAGAAAAAAAATAACAAAGTTTTTATAATAGTGCTCGCCACATAATAAGCATTCAAAAAATGTTGGGTATTTTAATTCCTAGTAGTGTTGTAGATGAGATGCTCCCATGACAGTTTACCATTGAAGAGTTTTCCCTCTGCGCTCAGGTGACCGACATCAGTTAGAAAGGCTGCCAGGCAAGGGTAATATTCTCTCAACAGCAGGACGGTCTGGGGTATGTTCAAGGTGAGCAGACGCACCCAAGGCTACTTATGCTCCATACAAAATTGGTAACTATATGTTAGCCCCAAGGCAATGAAGAAGTCCCTGTGGAGTATGTCTATAGGTTATTAAGAAAATATAACTATGAAATATTAAAACATAGTTGGTTTAATCTATCTGGTTTAGTTTATTGACCACATTGCCTAGTGTAACTATTCTGACTTAACCCCTCACTTAAAACTGGCTGCCCGCATCCTGCAGGTAATTGCTGATGGTCCTTGTCACTCCCTGGCTTCGTTTCCTAGTTGGAGTCCCTCTGGGTCAGGGGGTTCAGGTGTGGTGTGTGCATTCTCAGACAAATTCTCAGCGTGTAAATGTGTTTCCTTCCCGTCTAACTCTTCCGATACTCTAAGGAATTACCCAGTGGTAGCTGTGTTAACTAGTATCTCTTCAACCCCAAAGAAGTGTCAGGTAGAACCAGCTCGGAACTGTTCTCTCAGCTGCCAGAATGCCCTCAGGACAGGGGGGCAGAGCCTGAAGAAACAGGACCCACAGGGGAAGCATTAGGAAGGCCCTCTGGGGCGATTTGCTTTCTCTCCATCGAAGCTGCTTGCCTTTTGTTCCCAGCCCGCCTTTGGTCCCTGCCCTGCTTGCCTTTCTCCTCCAGGACCTCCCTCTTCCCAGCTGTCCTCATCCGGGTTCGGGCCCCCCAGTCCTTTCTCCTGGATTCTGAACCTCGCTGCAGGGCCCAGAGTTCTTTTTCTCTTTTTTCTTTTTAAGATTGATTTATTTATTTGAGAGAGGGGGAGAGAGAGAATGTGAGTGAGCGGGGAGGGGCAGAGAAGAGAATCTCCGGCAGACTCCTCACTGAGCGGGGAGCCTGACACGGGGCTCGATCCCACAACTCTGAGACCATGACCTGAGCTGAAGCCAAGAGTCGGACCTTCAACCCGCTGAGCCACCCAGGTGCCCCAGAGTTCTTGACCGACCTCAGTGATTGCCCTCGCTGTTACAGGGTGGTTCTGGAACGCTCTGGCAGTGGCCCAGTTATGCATCGAGCTGTTCTGCGGTTCTCGGGCTTGCCTGCAGGTCCTCAGCTGAAGGATGGTATAGTTATTGAGAAACATTCCCACCTTTTCCAGTGAGGAGCACCGACGCTTCCTTTTTTTCTGGGGAAGCCCAAACCCTAGCTAAGTTGTCCTGGGTTGAACTTCAGGGACAGTTAAGCTGTGCTTGGACTCAGAGCTGGGCTGTCCCTTCCTGGACAGAGTCCTGCAGGGCGGGCACCCTGAGCGGGCTCTGCCACCGCCATTGTCAGGGAGTTTGCCCTGCTTCGCCTGCCCGCCTGCGGCAAGAGGCCTCTCTTCCTCACCGGCCCCCACTCTCATCCAGTGGGCTCACAGCCTCAGTGTGGATTCTTGGCAAGAGTCGTTCCTTTAAGTGTTAAAATAAAATCTACGTCCCTAAAAAGCACTTTGCCTCAAAAGTCTCAGTTTTATAGCTGCGAGGATGTACCCATACTCCCCTCCTAATACCTCAGGGAAAGGTTTACGCTATTGCACATGTCGGCTGTCAGAATCGCAGACTAGGGAAATGGCAGACTAGAACGCAGACTGACTCCAGAGGAACCCCCTGCTCCTAGCTCACCAGGGGCAGCCCGGGGGAGTGCCTGCTCTCCTGGGTGGCAAAGGTAGCAGCCGCCTGGCCTTTCATCACAGCAGAAACTTCCCGGACATTTAGGATTAGAATTGGTTTTTAGTATTTGTGATGTTTCCAAACGAGCTGGTAAAAATTGATGGAAAACATGACACAATAACTTACTTATTTATTTATATTTTACTAGTCTTGCTATTAGCAGTATCTTGTAAATTTTAGGAGGATAGTTATTTACTTTATATTTCTACCTTCAGCAGGAAAATGAAATAATACCAGTGAAAGGGAAAGTAGGCTACGTAAATGGCTTTGTATTTCATAATTTAGATCCTATCTGAACATCCATATTCACTCCTAATTTCTTACGCAGAGAAACTTTGCACTGCTTGCCCTGGTAGTGGTTTCTCTGGCCTGAATTAAAAAGAAACCAAGCTCGATGTTTGGAAGGCATGAAGATGCTTCTACAAGCCGGCTTGGGGCTCGTTGCTGGGGCCGCGGTCTCGAGGTATCAGTGGGAGCTGACGCTGCCGTGTCCCGCAGGCCTCCATCTGCCGAAGCAGCCAGCCCCTGTCCGGCTTCAGCGCCCGGTGCCTCGAGGACGAGCAGATGCTCCAGGCCATCAGGAAAGCCAATCCGGAAAGCGACTTCATTTACGTCGTGGACACCCGGCCCAAAGTAAGTGTTGCCGTTCCTGTGCATGTCTTTGCAGCCCTGAATCGTGAACCTGGAGACGAGACAAAGGTAAACAGACTGTCGTCCCCGCTCCGGGTGCCTCACTGTCAAAGGCGCTGTTCCTCTTTGTGTAGTCAGGATGGGGCCGCCCTGCTCGGCTGAGTGTTTCTCCGCGGGTGAGTGTGTTTGCACCTGCGAGTTGTTTCCGGGGGTGTCCTAGGATCCTCATCACGCAGAGCCTTTCGAGATGCTCCTAGCATCGTGCCAGGTACACGGTACAGACAACCAGTGAGTGTGGTTTAATTTTGGAGCTTGTTCTCCTAAATACACCAAATTGTTTATTTATTTATTTATTTATTTATTGGGTTTATTTTTAAAATTGACCGTTTCTGCTCTAACAGTAAGAAATTACTGCGGAGCTCCCACAGTTCATGTTTTGTGAGGTGTTCAGCTATACTATTTCAAATTCAACCTTGTAGAGCGATCTGGATCTGTGACTCGGGAGGATTTACAATATACAATGTCAAGTAAAAAAAAAAAAAATCACAAAATAATATGTATACTATTGTGTTTATGTCAAATAAAACTACAGGCATATAAAAATTTCTGTTAAAATAAGAAAAGATCTGGAAGGATAAACAACAACCTGTTAAAATTCCATGGAGAAGGGAGGATTTAGAGAGGTAGAGAACTTTCTACATGTCTCTTGTTTGAAAAAAAAAATTTTTTTTTGAAGTTTTATTTATTTGACAGAGAGGGAACACAAGCAGGGGAGGGGAGCGGGAGAGGGAGAAGCAGGCTTCCCACCGAGCAGGGAGCCCGATGTGGGGCTCAATCCCAGGACTCTGGGATCGTGACCTGAGCCGAAGGCAGACGCTTAACGACTATGCCACCCAGGCGCCCCAAAATATTATTTTAATTTTGCATGTATTCATATACTGATTTTATAATTTAATAAAACAGTCAACAGGAAATAATGGATCTAGTTGTCAAGGGGTAAGCCAAGTCCATCTTGCAGAGTATCTCTCAGTCATAGAGGCCCATGCATTGTCTGATTCCATTTATGTGAAATGTCCAGAACAGACAGATCCATAGAGACAGAAGGTAGGCTGGTGGTTGCCTCGAGTTAAGAGGATTGGAGGAAGTGGGGTGACAGCTAATGGGTAGAGGGTTTCATTTTGGGGTGATTAAAATGTTCTAGAAATAGACTGTGGTGATGGTTACACAACTCTCTAAATATACCAAACATCACTGAATCGTGCAATTTTAGCGGATGAATTGTATGGCCTGTGAGTTATATGCCCACGAAGCTATTTTTTTTTTTTTAAGATTTTATTTATTTGACAGAGAGAGACAAAGCGAGAGAGAGAACACAAGCAGGGGGAGTGGGAGAGGGAGAAGCAGGCTCCCTGCAGGGACCCCAATGCGGGGCTCGATCCCAGGACCCTGCGATCATGACCTGAACCGAAGGCAGATGCTTAATGCCTGAGCCACCCAGGCGCCCCTCCAACGAAGCTATTTTCTAAAAAGAGCATAAGGACACAAGAAACATTAGAACAGGAAGTAGGAATTATGACCGACAGCCCCAGTCGCTTAAAAGTATACACAGATGTGTAGACTAGGTAACTATAGACATAGTCTATACTCATGGGCCATATGAGAATTGAGAATTTTGTATTACCCATTATGTGGGCACTCAGACCCTGGCAGTTTTCAATGCTTCTCTGAGCCTCATGTCATCAAATGCTGTGATTCATGGCCTGGTTCCCTTAACTTGATGTTTTCCTGGTGTAAGTAAGATCAGCGCCCTGGTTGTCCCCGTGACCTCCAGCAGTCCCGAGCTCCTGACCGAAGTGCAGCTGTGGGGTACTGGTGGGCGGGGCGGCGGTGAAGTCGTCTCTCTCAGATACCAGATCAGCAAATCTGCCCCGGAGATCAACGATACAACCCATGTTACAGCCAGATCCTGTTCCAGCAGATGATACGTAGGGGATTCTCTTCCTTTTAGGTAGTCTGAAAACAAAACACACTGGTAAGAATTTCCAACTGGAAGACAAAACAAAAACAAAACAAAGCTGGTCTGCTGGTAGATTTTCACCTGAAAGATACCAGCAGCCCTCTGACTTTACTGTTCTCTTTGCATGTGTGCTTTTCTCTCTGGCCCATCGCACTGTCACCCCTCCCTGCTAACCTTGACTCTTTTCTGTCCTCTTCATTGTACCTTCCGTGTAAGTAAAGTGCAGCTGTTTGGCATTTCCTCGTGACCAGAGGTGAATTAAAGAACGCCTACGTCTTAGGCACATGTACTGAGCCCGAGGTAAGAAAAGGAAGGGCAGGGGCTTTCCTGAATTGGGGTGCCCTTCTCCTGTCCTGTGTTCCCAGATTAAAAAAAAAAAAGCCAGACAGATTTACCTACTTGTTCCAGGGCCAGTGATGCAAGTGTGTACTATGCCACATAAACCTTTTGGGACGTGTGGCAGTTGTTGAGCCAGGCGGATTCCGGATTTAAAATGAATTAATCCAGAGGATTTTGATTTGAAGGGTATATTTAGCATGAAGCGTGTTTACTTGAGGCGATAAGAAGTTTGATGCTGATCCATTAAAGAAAACTGGTGTCTCCTCCGAGGGCCCCATTCTTGTATTTGCTCACACATCCCCACACTTCACATGAGTTTTAAACTGCTTAGATCTGTTCGTTCAAGAACAAGGCTGTTGATTTTTGGTTCCCGAGTGTTAGGCTTCCTTGGTAGCCAGGAGATGGAGCTCAAGCTTGCTATAGGCAGTGGCAGTGGGAAATGGGGCCCCTGCCCTGGGTTTGCTCTCAGGATCGGGAGCATCTGGATCATTCCTGCCCTGGGAGCAAGGCTCACCCCACACGCTGCCTGTTGAGATGAAAGCCTTCTGAATTGCTTGTTGACATTAAAATCTTGGGAGGCAGAGGCGGTGAGGTCCTCAGCATGTATTGAATATCTGCTCAAAAACAACTATACCCTTGGGGTCATATATTACTGCTGGGATTTGGTGCCTTAAGAAGATAGGAAACAGTATCGATGCATTAGACGTTGAATTGTAAAATGAGAGGAACTAATTTTCTCTCAGCCTTGTCGACGACTTCTTGTTACTTTAGCCTGGGACTTTGCTGAGCTTGTAATAATGCTTGTTTAATTCTTACAATAATCCTGAAAACGAGGAGATGTAGATTTGGAGAGGTTAAATAATCTGCCCAAGGTTGCAGAGTTCAGGACAGAGCCCACGTGCCAATCCGGGCTCACCTGTGGCCAAAGCCTGTGCTCCTTCCACTCGACCACAGTGCTGTTCACAGCAATCTCCAGGGGAGCCTTGTGTACACATCAGCCTCAGGACGGTTGGCACCTCCGAGCACACACCTAGTGAACCTGGAGACACGGAGCTGAAGAACCAACCAGAAGCTCATCCGGAATCAGGCCAGGGTCAGAGGAGCCACGAGGGCTCTGAGCTGGGCTCTGCTGCCAGCACCTTGGGAGGGAGCCCTGAGCAGTGCTGAGAAGGGGGGAGGTTAGGTAACCACCCGCCTCCGCTAATGCTCAGCCTCTTGTCCTTGCTCCTTCTCCAAAGACAGCTTTATGGTTATGGCTTCTAATCGCACCCTGTAAGCAGTTTTTTAGTTGCACTACAGGATGTTGGGTATTTTTGTGTTTCTCTGGGATCGGTAATTAGGTGGTTTCTACTCACCAAATCCTCGGGGGGGGGGGGTCTGAGAGAATCTGTTGTAAAGATTGGGGTGCCTGAAAGAGGAGAATCTAGGACCTCCTCTTTTAGTGGGACATATCCCATCCTTGCTGATGGCCACCGTGGCGGTGAGCAGGGGGAAAGGGAGCTGGTAGCGATCAGAGGCGGGGGCAGTCTGCACTCCTTCTGTTTGGTAGTGCAGGGGTGGAGGGATTTCCCGTGGGTCAAGTGCACACTGAGGAAGGAAGTGCATAGGAGCCATCTTGCTAGTGTCCCTCCAAAGAGGGCTCGTCCCCTGGCGGTCCCCAGCTGCATGTGTCTGCTGGGGAGCGAAGTTGAGGGGACTGGAAGAGGCCCGAGCCAGGGGGATCTCCCGTGTCAGTGACCTGTGTACCCCGTATCTACAAGAGCCCACATACGTGCCCTGGGAGATGCAGCATTTGGACTCTTTTCACCGAGAGGGCAGTGAGGGCCAGTAAGTGTGATGAGAAAAGCAGCAACGTCAATGGAGAGAGAATTGCAGTCTTGCCAGCTTTATAAAAAGATGTTTACCACTTATCCCTCCTCTGTACCCCTCCCCACACCCCCTAACCCCCCCCCCAAAGCAGATAGCACCTAGAAGAAAGAGGAATGGGAAGGGAGTAGGAGAGCAGACCCCTCACCTGTCCTCATAGCCTGTAATGAGGGAAAAAGATAATTTTGCATCATACATGGAATGGAATTTTAAAGATTTTATTTATTTATTCATGAGAGACAGAGGCAGAGGGAGAAGCAGGCTCCCCGTGGAGCAGGGAGCCCGATGCGGGACTCGATCCCAGGACCCTGGGATCATGACCTGAGCCGAAGGCAGACGCTTAACCGACTGAGCCACCCAGGCGTCCCGGAATTGGAATTTTAAATGGAGCTGGATGGTGGTTTTTCTCTCAGAGTGTAATCCCAAAGCTATTCATTCTGCCTAAGATGTCCTTCAGGGTAGGAAAGGAAGATTTCCCTAGCAGGGTGGTACGCAAGAAAGCGAGCCACCTCATATTTTCATGTTTATGTCACAAGTTCAGGTTCTTCATTTCACCAGTTAGAGATGGAGGGAGGGAAAGGAGCGTCATGGGACGCTCGCTGCTAGGCTGTGGCCCAATCCTCCTCCTGCCAAGATAACTTTTGTTCTCATTTCCCAACCCTGTCAGATCAGCTCCTGTCATTATTCAGGTACAGAATGTACTGTGCTGAAATCTGAGACTGCAGGGTTAAGACAGTTGTAGTCTTCGGAGTGACCAGGCTGACCATTAAGTTGATGCCAAGATTATCATTGGCTAAGTTCTCATGGTTTTGGTGTGTCTGACTGACTGATTGATTGAGGGTCAGAGGAAGAATCTGATTCTGTTTCTTAACATTCTTGGCCTGTTCACCTTTCCACTTCACTCCAATATTCAGTCCTTTGTTTGGCCGGTCAGCCGGTCAGTAAATCTTCACTGTGCCAGTTGGAGGGATATGGCCACAAACCAGGCCTGCAGGCACCCCATGGAGCCTGTGTCCTCCACCCCAGCCCAGGGGATCTTCTCTGCCATCAACACTACATCTTAAGATTTTCAAATAAACCTGGTCAGAATCCTTCAGTTGCTCTCCACCGCCATGGGTAAAGTCTAACCTTCTGACTTGGGCCTCTCTGTAGAGGAGGACTCGAAATAATTTTTAGCCTCCTCTCTCGCTCCTGCTACCATCCATGAACCATTGACCCCACTGGCACTGGTGGGCTCACTGATACCCATCTGCCCCTTGATTTTGTGTCCCACCTCTTCTGGAATGCCTTCCCCTTTGTCTCCATTTCCCAGATGATGGAAGTCCATCTCAAGGCCTCTTGCTTTCATGAGACGTGACCCCTGATCCCCTAGGCCACATGGGGCTGCTCACGCCCAGTCCTGGCGGGTCGAGTCCGTTATTATTTGGTGCTGTGTGCTTCCCCGGACACACTCAAAAGCTTATGGTGGCAGGGATAGCTTCTTATTCATCTTTTTATTCTGTTCAGCATCTGACACACAGTAAGTGTTCATTAGGAGTTTGTGGGGAGGGCGCCTGGGCTCAGTCGATTAAGCGTCTGCCTTTGGCTCGGGTCATGGTCTCAGGGTCCTGGGATGGAGCCCTGTGTTGGGCTCCCTGCTCAGTGGGGGGGTCTGCTTCTCCCTCTGCCCCTTCCCCCATTTGTGCTTTCTCCCACTCTCTCTCAAATTAAGAAAAAAAAAAAAAAAAAAGGAGTTTGTGGAGAAATGAGTGGGTTCTTTTTATTTCACTGATAAGATTTTCTGCCCCCATAGATGCTGAGATTATCAAATAGTGGCGTGATCTTGGGTGAGAAAGCGGTATTTTTTTTCCAGCTCTACTTGTTATTTTTCTGTTGTATTCCTTATGCATAAAGTGAAGCTGGAATGCAGTTACCTCCAATGTTTCATTTATTCGAGAATTTTTTGGAGTTGAGATGAACAGCTTTCCCTTTGTTCGTGAGATGGAGTTCTCAGCCAAAGGCACGGGGGACAAATTAGACTTACTCTAATACTGTTTGGTATATATAAGGCACACTCTATCTGGAGATTTATAAAATAGGTCCAGGGTAGCTTCTTGAATTTTTATTACTCATAAAACCATACTTCCTGCTTTGACGGTTCAGCATTTGCTACACTATCCTGATAGGTCTCGGGTGAAATCTGTGGAAACCTTGACAAAGTACACTTTGGATGATAGATTAAATATTGCCATCTTCTGTTCATTATGAGAAGTACCATTGACTTTCAAGAAGCCATCTTGTGTTGATCCTTTCCTTTGAAAGACTATCAACAAATTATCCCAGGTCACAGGTACTCAACTATGTACAAATGTGAACACAGAGTTCTAATCATACATTCAAATGATAATACTAATGATATATGGGGTTTTATTTATTACACTATTAGAAAAGAGTATCTCTGAAGTATGTGGTGGGTAGGTTTAACTTGAATTATTTAAGATACAGAGGAAATATAAGGCTCATGTAGCATCGGGATTCTTGCAAGTATACAAAGGAGTGATATTTTATAACAGTACGTTTCAAAAGAATAATGCCTGTAGGTAATTTTAGAGAGAAATTTCCCCTTAAAATATTTAAAAATTGTAAAGCATAGGGTGCCTGGGTGGCTCAGTTGGTTAAGCGACTGCCTTCGGCTCAGGTCATGATCCCGGAGTCCCAGGATCGAGTCCCGCATCGGGCTCCCTGCTCGGCAGGGAGTCTGCTTCTCCCTCTGACCCTCCCCCCTCTCATGTGCTCTTTCTCTCTCTCAGTCTCTCAAATAAATAAATAAAACCTTTAAAAAAATAAATAAATAAAAATTGTAAAGCATAAACAGGAGTTGTCTTCAAAATAGCATCATTTTTGTATTTTTTTTTTTTTCTTGAGGAAGGCCAAACCCTTTATTCTCATAGCATGCCCAGGAGAAAGGTGACAATCACTGGGAAGTGTCTTGGGCTGATGGGCCCCAGCTGATGTCATAAGCGCTAAATCGTGAGCAGGACCGCTACGGAGAAGGGAGGTGTCCACCAGCCCCAGCTCGGAGGGGCACCGGCTTGCCCTCTGCTGCTTCAGTTTTCACTTCTAATACGTGTTATGTCTATTAGTTAAATTACAAAGCTAATATAATCTTGGTAACAGAGAATACAGAGGCATCTAAAGTAGGATTGATAGTGTCCCCTGGCACTTGTCACCTCTGTGTTTCTGCTCTAACCGCTGCCAGGTTGGTATCGTCATTCATACATTTTAATCTGCTTATTCAAACGTGTATAAACATAAATATGCATCTGTACTTTGTTTTACAAGAAATGAGATTATTGTATGAATATTATTCTTTAGGTTACTCTTTTCACTTAACCATGTCATGGGCCAATTCCAAATCAGTCTGTCTGTCTCTGTCTCTGTGTCTGTCTCTCTCCAAAATCCATGTCTTTTTGCCCCTGTAGAAGTTCAGGGTGTGAATATACCATAATTTATCTACCCATTGCCCTATTGAGATACTCATAGGTTTTCAGGTTTTTACTATTATAAAGTTTTAATGGACATCTCTCTTTATGTGCTGGTAGTTTTAATTGTGTGAAGTAAAGATCTGGGCCAAAGAATACTTATGTTTTTAACTTAGCTTAGTTTTTAGCTTCATTTTTTTAAACTTGGCTTTTTGAGAAGTATTTGTTAATTTGTGAAATCGATATATTTTTTCTGGCGGTGAGTTCCTGGTGTCAGTTCTCTGCCTGGGAGAACCTGCCTGCCTTTTGTGGACAGAAGTTGAACATGATCAGTGGTAGTGTTTCCTAGGTTGTGACCCCCACTTAGCCAAACAGCAAGGATGGAATTTTAGCAATAATACATCCATCCCAGAAATGTATTTCCCAGCTAAGGCAGGACTTGTCCCCTTCCTGGTTTTAGTTACACAGGATGGGGGCAGAAGTTTGCATTTAATAAATTTCTTTGAAGTCTGTTCTCTTTAACCCAGTTTCTGCTGGGAAACCCCCACCATATACAAAATTGTAGTAATGAGAGTGGTCCAAAAGACCTCTTAGCAGGTCTCTAGATTGAAATAAAATCACTGGAGAAATGGCCGTGGAGATAGTTCTACGTGTGCTTGCCATTTTAGTCAGTGAGTCCTGCTCAAGGTTTAATTGGGGGATTCTTATAGGCAGATTAAAATCACACCACCATTCCTATAGGATAATGTGTTTATTGGCAATATAATACTGGAAGATATAATTTAACTCAGAGCTTTGGATTTCCCCCTGTATCTGCTGATATTCTTCTGCCAACCTACAGGCTATGACGTTTGGTTAAGTCAGGGCCACTTGGCTCTATCACAGAATTCCATACTCAGTTTGGCATCTCTGATGGAACCACGACAGACATCTCCAGAAGGGTTTTTCTGTAGAATGCTTTCCAGCTAAGAAAGTGTTCCTTGCATCAACACATTTATGCTGTTGAGAATAAGCTCAGCAGGAGTGCCTGGAATCACATAGCTTGGTAGAATGTTCCAGTGATTTCAAACATGTTATGTTTCTGCACACCATTTTGAATGCTGTTACCGCTGTCGGTGAGATGTTTAGGTTGTTTTATGCCCTGAATATCATTGGTGACTGCTCTGTTTTGCTGACCACCGCAGCTCAATGCGATGGCAAATCGTGCCGCAGGGAAAGGCTATGAGAACGAAGACAACTACTGCAATATCAAGTTTCAGTTTATCGGGATAGAGAACATCCATGTCATGAGGAGCAGTCTGCAAAAAATGCTGGAAGGTAAGCCATTTCCTTATGCACAGCATTAAAAAAAAAACACAGTGAAAGGTTGTAATGTCAAGCAGGATAAGATAGTCTTGTTTTTTAAATTGTTTTTACCATGATGCTGTTTATAGAGGGGGGGTAAGTCACACGAGAATATCGTATTGCATTAAACATTTAAGCCTTTCTCTTATTTCTTGCAAGTGTCATGGGGAAATGGTTTTTCGCTTGGTTAGCAAAGTCAGGCACTGTCCAGGGCTTAGTATCTAAGATCAAAGTGCACAGGGGTATTTTTTCTTTCTCCCTCATGATACTGGTTTGACCCACATTCAAGGCCATTTAGATAAAACAGTCCTACATTTAAAGCAATAGAGCCAGCTCTGTTCCTGTGCGGAGAGGAGCGTATGAGACGAATCCCGGCGGCCGAACGGCCATTGGAGGCGAGGGCGTTGCCTCCCGTTTCTCCGCGCCACGACCGCGGCAGTGCGCCTGCGCCCAAATCACGTGCCCCCCGCGCCCCGCCCCCGCCCCCGCCCCCGCCCCCGCCCCTGCCCCCAGCTCCTTACGCCGCGGGACACACACACACAGGCTTAGGGGGGAGGAAATGGCAAAGATGGATTAGGTAATGTGCAACCGCCATTCTTGTGGCCAAACCAGCCATAAGCTGATTAGCAGAAATTCTGCACTTCAAGCAAAACCGGCCTCATTTACTGCTTATGCTCCCTGTGATTATAAAGGCGCGCAAGGAGGCGTCTAGTGCTGCAGTCCGCCGCTTCTGGCTCTATTAGGAGCCGCAGAGACAGGGGGAGGCGAAACGCTTTGCTCTGTACCTTGGGGCCCTGGAAAGGCTGTGAACGCTGTGCTTGCCCTCGGCGTGAAGGCCCTGGAAAGGTGGAGCCGAGCGCGAGGACAGTGCGCTGTCTGAATAGGAAAGGCAGGGTGGAATGAAGGAGGACAAAGGACGTGCTGAATTCCTTTTTTCTAAAGGGGTACACGTTTGCTCTCAGTTAGCATGCAGTTCTCTGCTTCATGGGAAGGATGGGGGGTAGTGAGAACCTGCGGGTGGGGCTGGAGGGCCTTGAGGAGCACATTCCTGATTTCCATCCTCCCTCCTGGATTCCCTGGGTCAGCGCCCGGGCTGTGAAACTTGCCGCCCAGCAGCCACCTTCACGGGGCTGTTACCTGCCATAAAAGGAGAAGCTCGGACTGATAATTTCTCCGGGTCCTTCCAGCTGTGTCGGGTCTGTGACTACAGTTTGATGCCTCTGGTTGCAAATATTTGGACTTTGGACATTTGAATCGTTAGAAGAAATCTCATCCTAAATCTGGAAAAAAAAAAAAAAAAATCACGGCCCCAGAGAATCTCCATCTTATTTTCACGGGAAATCTGCCATGGCTCAGGTCACTGTAAGGGAACCTTGGGCATGATTGTTGGAGCTTTTTTTTTTTTTTTTTTAAAGGTTTTATTTGAGAGAAAGACAGCGAGCATGAGCAGGGGGAGAGGCGGAGGGAGAGAGACAGACAGACTCCCTGCTGAGCAGGGAGCTGGACGCCGGACACGGGACTCCATCCCAGGACCCTAGGATCATGACCTGAGCCAAAGGCAGACGCTTAACAGACTGAGCCACCCACGTGCCCTGATTGTTTGAGCTTCTTAAACTTCTGGAGATAATCATGGGCCGTGTGGCTGTCCGTGCTATAAGCTGTGCTTTTTAGGTGTCAAAAAATCGGACCAGCTTTGTACTGTTGTTAAAAGGATAGTTTAACATTAGTACGAAAGGTGTGCATCGCTGTCAGAATCATTAAAAAGCGTTTAGGTTGTTATGCTTCATATTTTTCATTTAGTAATTTCATAAGCTGACTTCCGACAACCTACATTTTCTTCAATGCAGAAAGTAGCTCTTCGGAGTTTTGATAACCTATCACTTTGACTTGAGTTTTGGAGCTAGCATTTATTTGGTTTCTTATTAGGAACCATTTCTCCCGCCCTCTACCTGTGGTCTGACTCTCTTCTTCTAAAGGACGGCAAACTGACAGAGTCCTGGAGGGCAGTCCCTGTTCCATGAGGGATCACAGTAATTGGACATCACCTTTCAGCTCTCTGTCAGTGCAGTAAGCAAGGACAACCTTCTGGATGCCTTTCAGGGAACTTGACCAATGTTTGACTATCTGTTTTTACCAAGTAAATTATAAACCACTTGTGGAGGCTCAGCTGATGAAGTGATGCAATCAGACCCACCTTCTAGGGCTTTTCCTGCTTCCAACAGCTGTCCTTGGCATCAAAGAGATTGGAAAGTTTGTGTTGCTGGTCACTTGGTAGGAAGAGGGATAGTGCATTTTTATTCATGGTTATTATTGTCTTTGATTATTTTTTTTTTTTACCACTGTTAACATTATCAGAATAGATTTTGAATAACAGAAAAGAAAAAAATTGTTTGCATTCTGGCTCTGTGTGTGAGCAAGAGCTGCAGGATATTTCATCAGAAACTGAAATTTAGGACCAAGTTCACATCCGGTGTAGGTCCTTTTATAAAGGTCACTTAATTTTAGCTTTGATTTATAAGTCCTAAAGCAAACTGTGTTGCGGTATTCACACCTCCCAATGAGATAGTAATGATGATCCCTTCCAGTTATGTAGCAATTTTGTAATTGTTTTCTACAGTGCTTTCCCTCTTGATCATATAATGTCTTTCCCTCAAATAATAAAGGGATGCCCTATTTTTTCTTTTTTTATTGGAACAGTCAATAAGAAAGCCCACATTTCTCTGCCATATGGACCACTCTATATATGCTATTCACAACATGGCAGGTTCTTTTTTTTTTTTTTAACATTTTATTTATTTATTTGACAGAGAGACACAGCGAGAGACGGAACACCAGCAGGGGGAGTGGGAGAGGGAGAAGAAGGCTTCCCACTGAGCCGGGACCCCGATGCGGGGCTCGATCCCAGGACCCTGGGATCATGACCCGAGCCAAAGGCAGACGCTTAACCGACTGAGCTACCCAGGCGCCCCGGCAGGTTATTTTTTCAAAGCTTAACTCTCCAGTTCTAAAATCTAAGTATATTACATTAAAAAAATATATGTTTCCTTAAGTAGACTCTACACCCAGTGTGGAGCCCAACACAGGGGTTGAACTCATGACCCTGAGATCAAGACTGAGCTGATGTCAAGAGCCAGACACTTAACCAACTGAGCCACCCAGGCATCCCACATTTAAAAATATTTTATATTACATATTTAAGTTTTTAAAAACACACACTTCCCAGGGTCTCATAACAAAGCCGGATTTGAGCCTAGTACTGTATTCTATCATGTTAGAGCACAACTCCTCATTGATTTGTGGGTACGGTGTTGGACAGGCTCACAGATAACCACCCCACATAAGAATGGTGTTATAACATCTACGGGGTAATTACTATGTACCCGACACTGTTTTAATTTTCTCAGGTGTATTTATTCAAGTAGTCCTCAGGGCAGTCTTGTTAGAGCTATTCTTTTTTTTTTTTTAATTCAATTAGCCAATATATCATTAGCCATCATTAGTTTTTTGATGTAGTGTTCAATGATTCATTAGTTGTGTATAACACCCAGTGCTCATCAGATCACGTGCCCTCCTTAATGCCTATCACCCAGTTACCCCATACCACCACCCCCTCCCTTCCACAACCTTCAGTTTGTTTCCTGGTGTCAGGAGTCTCTCATGGTTTGTCTCCCTCTCTGATTTCTTCCCATTCACTTTTCCCTCCCTTCCTCTATGGTCATCTGCACTATTCCTTATGTTCCACATATGAGTGAAACCATATGATAATTGACTTTCTCTGCTTGACTTATTTCACTTAGCATAATGCCCTCCAGTTCTATCCACGTCGATGTAAATGGTAGGTATTCATCCTTTCTGATGGCTGAGTAATATTCCATTGTATATATGAACCACAGCTTCTTTATCCATTCATTTGTTGATGGACATCTCGGCTCCTTCCACGGTTTGGCTCTTGTGGACATTGCTGCTATGAACATTGGGGTGCATATGGCCCTTCTTTTCACTACATCTGTATCTTTGGGGTAAATACCTAGTAGTGCAGTTGCTGGGTTGTAGGGTAGCTCTTTAACTTCCTGAGGAACCTCCATACTGTTTTCCAGAGTATCCTCATTGTACAGATGAGGAAATTGAGGTGCAGAGGCTGAAGAACTCATGCAAACTCACAACAGTAGATGATAGAACCAAGATTTTCACCTGATCAGTATGGATCCAGATGCCACACTCTTCACCACTTGGCTTTTATGGCCTCTCTAGGTAGCCGGTTGGGTAGAAAGTACCCTGGCCCGAGAGTCTGAAGACCTGGGTTTGGGTTCTTGCTTTATAGTCTCTGAATAAACTTGAACAAACCTCATTTCCTGTATTTGTAAAACAACATTAGTAATGTATCATCCCTCACTTACAGATTTATTGAAAAGATTCCTTGCAAACTATAAAGTGCTTTCTTTCCATTGTAAGGTGCATTATGCTTTCTCTTGAGAAGCAATACTGCACTTGGAAATAAGTACTGAATAAAATGGGTAAGTTAATGGGCTATAGATTAATTCAGTCAGCAAGATAAATATTTGGGAGGTCCCGGGCCTTGTTATGAGTAGCTTTTCTCAATTTCTTTATTCAAGAGACATGGAGTAAGACAGCACAATTTCAGAGGCATGGAAGTGCTTGCCTTGTGATAACGGTCAATGTCCACTCAGCAAAAGTCCATCAAAAATAATTTAATAAACCACCTCTGAGGCCTTGTGGACGTTTTCTCAGCAAATTATTTCACAGAGATACAAACCTCAGCCCAATGGCAGGTCATGTGGGAATGGGTCCTGAGCACAGGAAGAAAGGCCAGTGTCCATTCAGCAATTTGGGCAATACTACAGTGAAGAGCTGTTTGAAAGGGGCCAGAGTCGATGCAATTTAAAAGATTGAAATCTTTTTAGCAGGCCCCAAAGTGTAACCACATTTGTCATATTCCCCGGAATTGTAGACATTGACAGTGGAGAAAGTTTTGTGGCAAAATCAGGTGGCCTCAGAGATCATATCTGATCTGCACTTTTGTGTGAAGTTTCTGAGGCCAATTATTCAGAACCTTCATTAGGTGTAGAAAGGATGGTTGAAAGCAGAGAATTTTGAGTATGTCATGGGAGGCGGCGGGTATTATGGTCATCCGACTAACTGCTCTGGTCTCCCTGCCAAGTTGCCTTGGGCACACCAAGGTCTAGAAAGGAGCAGACCCTAACACACACAGCTCTGAGGGTCCCATGAAACACTTCTCTCTGCTCAGAGTTACGGTTGTGGCTATCAGTTCAAATGTCCCCTTTGTTGGAGACTTTCTTGCTCACCTCATGTCTTTATGAGGTGATGACTAATTCAACCTGGAAGATATCTTTATAGATATTCAGATTTAAGTTTTTCAATTTAAAGTATTTCCTATTACATTGCCTACAGGTTGACAAAGTTCTACCAGATATGAGCTAATGAAAGGCTATAAAAGTTCATCTTTTTTCTGTTCTCTATGTTTTGCCTTTTTACCACTATTAATTTCCTCAATTACTAACCCGTTAAATGAGACAGCCAACAAGACCTGGCTGAAAATCTGGGTATTGTCCTTCAAAAGTTAGCAACAAGGCATGGTTTTCCACACAGAAAACCTAATTTCCCAGTAAAATGGAACTAGATAGCTTCACATCTGAGGTTTTTCAAAGAGTGTTTGGTATGACCAACAGGTCTGTCCTGTCAGGCTTTACTAGTTATCAATCCATGGTCACTTGGAGGAAAGAAATAGATCAAGAGCATGTACCTTGCTCTCTGTGGTGTTGTAAGAGGATGCAGAATGTGGCCAGTGAATGCTGGGTATCAGCTAATCTGGACAAGCATATCCTAAGCACTAAGGCGTGGAGAACAGAGTGGGCCCCTTGGGGGGATAGGGAACGTGGACTGGACTCCAGCTCAATTATTTACGGACCGCGTAACCATGGATGATGACTCAGTAAACTTCTTTAAGCCACCTTTCCAATCTGTGTATTGGGAGTAAATAATACCCCATCTGGTAGAGATTGTATGTAGAGTAGCAGGAACAATCCCTGCTTAGAGTAAGTATGGAATAAGTCGGTGCTACAGAAGTTCTCTCCGACATTTGTCTGTACGTCAAATAGTTATTGAGAATTTTCTACATGCTGGGCATTGGGTAGAAAAATGCTTTATTCATTAATATGAAATGAAGTACTGATTTTGATGTAGGGCAAAAATCATGGGCAGGAAGAAAAGATGATGCTTGCTTATTACTGAGGGCTATCCC